GTTTCGGGACTAGACTGAACCGGCAAAACTCGACGAAAGTCTATACGAGTCTATACGTACCCCGGGTCATCTGAAAACCTTTAAAGTCACTTCTTCAAAGAGAAAGAGGAAGTGACTTTCCATTAAAGTGAGAAATGGGATAAATGTAATGGAAATGGGAGAAAGCGAGATGCGCGACCTGGAGAAAGTCAGCCAACACTTGATGGTTCACTTTGATCCCACACGGATAAATGGCATACGCTCCCATTTTAGGTCCCCTATTCAAGTTGTTTAATATGATTATAAGCTCGTTCTAGTCCCAACTTTATTTATTGTATTCAAGTTATACATTGAGGTTTCACTTTCAACGAACCATTAGGTCTCCACAAAGTCACGTCGTTTCTGCTTTAAGGAGACCTTCGTGACTGCAGCTTTGTCACCGCAATCATAAACTGTCCCAGTATCGTACGTTGTTATAGCCGTACCTGAATGCCATGAAAGGTAGATTTGCAGTTGAAATGTAAGGTGAAACACAAATCCTGAAATCAACAACAGATGTTGAACAATGGATATAGAAGCAAGGCCGAGTGGATAGAAAAAAGAATGGAATATCTCACATGCGCTTTCAAGGAAGTGCCAAGTGGATAGAAGATTTAATAAAGAGAAGTCATCAAACCGTCCTAGGAAAAAAGCAAGATGAAAAAACAAAAACTAGATTCGGATTGTGGACAAATGACAATTATGGACCAGAACACATGCACCTTTAAAAAGGAACAGGAATTTGATTTTGATTGTAAAAGAATCAAAAATGTTAACTGCAACCAAACATGAACACATACAGTGTTTAGATTATCATGATACCAATAGTTAAAAGTATGGACTAGAACACCTAAAATTTACAACAGAACATAAGCAAGGGATTGATTTTGATAGCACCAAAATGAGAAGTACGGACTACAACATCTTAAAGTCACCTCAATGAATGAAAACGGATTTGGTTTTGAAAATAGGATCTTGTGAAATATAGTTAAAGCAATATTCAAAGGAAACTATGGTTAGATTTGATAGAACCAAAGTGAGAACTATGAGATGAAGTGAATTGAATGCATTCCGATCCTAAGATCGGAAGCCAAGTGATAGACTGGTTCAACAGAGCTCGTTTTGACTTAGCTTGTTTTTCTCAACAGACCTTGGAAAAACCTCGTTTCACCTTTGACTGCCGACGGAGGACATCAAGACACAAGTCCTCTCGAAGCACCTTTGTACTAAAGTCATAGAAGTTGAAAAGGAACCTTTACAAATCCACAAGACATGAGTGATGTATATATATATATATATATATAAAAGAAGGAAACATTCAAACTGGTCTAAGAGTGTCCTAACCAAATGGGTGCTTCACCTACAGCCCAGTGAAGGGTTCAATACCTACCGGTGGTTAGTCTTGCTTCGTTATCTCCTGGAAAGGGGACTCTGTATGTGTGCGACCGCGTCAAAGCCATGGTCAACGCAAGCAGGTCTGGAAATTCTAAAACGTGGGCAGTCACCGTCACGTTACAACGTTGAAGCATTTCTTTTGCAGTATGGAAGTAACTGAATCCACTTTGCTAACTTGCAATAGGGACGATTCAAGAGTTCCCTTTAAGCTAAGCATCTCCGTGCAGACGACTCCGTTGGAATCCATGATATTGGCGGTGTGATTTATTATATAAAATATTTCCTTAAGATGAATAAGAGCTTTATACAATGTAATTTAAATTTGCTAAGAGTTATGGCAAAATAATTATTCAGTTTGTCACTCAAAGTTTTATCTTGAATTTTATATTCAATTATACTTTTTTAAATGTGCAATTCTGATTATGGAAGAATTCTAATTTCTCCAAGATAAGCAATTTTTTGGTTTTCGGTTTTTTATCATGCATGCTTTAATTACAACCATACGTCTTATGCATAGCTTGATAATGATTGCATCAAACTGCATGATTAATTTGTGCTTGAGCTTGATTGAATCATTTTGATATATTGTTATAAAGTTCCTTACACAAAAAACTGATTTTACCTTTGTACGTTGTTTTTGATCTTTTCAGGAGATTTCGAACGAAATACGATAACGAAAGAAACCTTAATGTGATCTCATTAAAATCAGATCGGAATACAAATATCTCAGAATCTATTTTCTATTAAGGTTTTCTGAGCTGATCTAGAAACATCATATTTCTACAGCTATGAGGTAGGTTTTAAGATGAGTAGAATGTCAACTATGGCACTAGACTGGAAGATTTTCCTCTTTCCTCTCAAAGGATTGCTTCTCAGATTTTTTTAATTGCAATGCAGAAGTGTGAGGACGTGTCGGCTATACTCCAAAAAGGTTTTCAAGAAAATCATTGTGTATCTGCATCCATAATGTATGTAAGGGAGTCAAATAGCGTTGAAACTAGAGCAAGATGGCTTAATCTAACCTAGTGCAGGGAATTAAGATATCGAAGTTTGATATTCAATTCTGCAACCAAAGGCCAAAAATTCATTTTAGCATGCTAGAGAGAAACTTCGGAATGTGGAAAGTTGTCATCTAAGGTGGTGATTCTAGGTCTAATCATGTTGGCAGTAGTAGAAGGCATTCATAATGAGACAAAAAAGTATAGGATATATCATCAAGATCTGCATGGATGACATCAAAGTCTACAAGATTGAGATGTCAATTTCTCCTTCCCAAAAATCCTGCTAGCTCATATTAATTGACAATGATATCTATGTCACTTCTTATTATAATCTCCTGTAACAACTCCACACTATTAAGGCAATGATAATCTTCTTCAAACCAATCTCAATGTTGATCATGTTTTTTTTAAAATCTAATTTTGCTTTAGACAAAGAAAAGGATCAAACACAAAATACGAAATATCATGCACTGTTACAAAACCTAATGAGAGAAAATGAAGTTATAGTTAGCACAAAAATGGTAAGATTAGAGAGTACATCATTTAGTTCTATCCATATGCAAAACCACAATTACTTATAACTCCACCTAAGGTGAAACGAGACTAGATTTCAAGTTTCTAAATTCTCAGAACACAACGATTTTATTTTTAACAATATATAACAGGTACAACAGAGCTAGATTTGAATAAAGTTAAAAAAATCCCGAACCAGGACTTACTCTCTATAAAAATTGATAAATTTTTTTGAAGTAAAATCTTTCTAAATATCATTCTAAGATTCTCAATGCTATTTGATTCGTATACCATTGAGATTTAAAATACAATTATTCATGGTGTTCAATAAAATTTGTGTATTAATATTAATAATAATATTTGTTTCTATACCAATGAAATGGGGATTCTAAAATCTAAAAAAATGTGAATCACATTTTTTCACATTTTTTTAGATTTTAGACCTCTCTGACATTGACCTTCTTTGAACATTTAGGATTGTGGTAATCACTTAACAAAAGTTTTGGTGGTGTCAAGACAAAGTAGTGTCAAGTGAATTGCGGCTCTTACTGTGACAATAATATATGTAAGGTTCCAGCCAAGCTGACTCGATAAGTATCAAGTGGTTTACATACAAATCCCAGTCATGCTTACTCAGGAGCTCGCCCATCGGTGACCTGGGGGATCTTTCCATGATGTGAATCCTAAACTCCAAATCACAAGATGATAAAGATAGATCACAAATTCTTGAGAAATGAGTTTCTCTAACTTGTATGATATCGTTTTGAAATGTATCTATATGGATGTAAAAATCTAAAAGAAAACACATCAAGACTAACAAGGTACAAAATCAAGAGTATTGCATACTTTGGTACGGATAGTATAAATAACATTTTGATATCAACTAATTTACAAATAATCGAGAGACTGATTCTATATAGTAATGTAAGGCAGTGAATAAAAGGTTGCAAACCTGATATTATCTCTCCTGACTGTGCAGAATACCCTTCTCAGAACTATCAATTGACATTACGAATTATGTGGTAGTTAATAATTCATTGGGACCGATGATGAGCACGCTGTGCACAGTTGAGAATGTTGAGACTGACGTTGATGCCCTTGCGCGAGGCAGAAGACAGTAATGAGCTCTACCGAACGTCCCTTGGTCAGCGAAAGTACGCCCGTAGGTTCACAGCAGAAGACGAGAAGAATTCATCAAGAGCTCATCGACGACGAAGTGAATCATTGTTACGAGCAAGAGCGTCCAGCGAGCGAGTGGTCGGTCGGTTCGAGCACGGTAACGCTCGGTAACGTTCGGACGTACCCAGAGGGTCGTCATGTGCACACATGTACGAGTCCGTTGCCAATTGAAGTCTCGAGATCGGTCTAGGCGAAAGTTTCGACATGTGTACCACGAATCGACATCTTCACAAAAATTATACCTCGTCACAATCACTGGTTGGAAGCATAGAGAGATGCGTGCTGAGTGCTCTCCAACATGTCTGCCAGCACACCGTAATGCAATCTTTGACAAATGAAAGATCACATTCCCTTCTTCCCGAATACATTATAAGAGTCCGATCGTGGACTCCTCGGCCGAAGGTGACACCACGCTCGTAACAACCTGTAGCTGACCCAATTCTCTACTGCAGTCTTTCTCTGAAGACTGATCCGGCGCTGTGAAATATCCCGTGCATCGGAATATCGATCTGAATGGATTTATGATGTTAAATTGCTGTCCATGGCCGCTTCAGCCTTGTCAATGTGGGTTGACTGATTCACAAGACGATCCAGGTTCAACGTATCATCTCCTCTACAAGGAGGTTGAAAAGATGTATCGACGAGAGCAGTACTTGTTTGTCTGGTGGGTTTCACAGAACGTTAGCAAAAGCTATGATGAAGAGGCCGGACACTTGTCAAGGTTTAATCACTCCGTACAAATTCATCGAGGCTCCCAAATGGTATCGATCCATAATTATGCTGTGTCAGAATTATGATTGACTGAGTGCACATCACCTCTCGTCTAAGATTCTTACGCACAGTATAAATGCCATGGTCCGGAGCGCCAATTTTACCATAACTTCATTTGCGATCTTCCAAAGAGCTTGCTAGTCATAAACTAGAACCCTCTTGGCGTGAACCTCATGGAGACGATTCAACGACAGAAAATTGTTAGCGTACTCGTTGTTATTGCAGTGAAGGCGTTGATCTCGATGCTGCATGTGAACTCAATAGGTCCATGCGGTAGAGGATCCGGGCCCTGCATCCCAGCAGAACAATGGTCAAGGCATGTTCGAGCTCAGGATTTTCCTGGTTCTTCACCGTCTGCATCACCAAGTCCTCTCACTGTGGCCCACTTGGTAACAGCTGATCTGTTCGACAGTCTTTTCCCAGCACGAAATTTCAGCTTCTACACGTACGTGTCGTTCTTGACTGCAGCAGAAGCGTTTCCTGACTTCGGAACTAGCGGAGGTTTAGATTCTCGGAAGCAAGAGATTGCAGCTTTTGTTGCTCATATTCAGTACGAGACATCAGGTGATCTTCACGATATTCATGTGATGTCAATCCGTCTAGTGTCACTAAAAATTGTGCCAGTGCTTGCTATTTGTCCAATGAAATATGCTGAGAACTGTTTTTCCAGTCCAGCCATCGATTTGTTTGTTACTATGTGTGTCACTTATTTAAGCAAGAGCTGACAATGAAGAGTAGGGCTGGAGAGTTGCTGAATCGGCCTTTGTTTGCAGGTTTATCCTTCATTGAGGCAGGGGACCAGTCCACTGATTACTGTGACGTCATTGCCAATGCCTCGTTCACGTGTTTTCCTGGAAAGAAGTACTTTCCTCGTGGTCCCATGCAAATAACCTGGTACTGTGAACATTCAAATACGTATTGACATGTATTTATTCGACTGTTGCAATGTATCATGTTTACAACCAAGTGAGCTCTTCGCGCTACGATATACATTGAAATATAAATAGAATTATGAATCCGATCTAAAAGAAATCAGCTGACCATAGCGCATACGATGTACACCTCAACCTGCAGGAATTACAATTACGGGAGTGCTAGTGATAGTGTGGGCACGAATATTCTTGCAGAGCCAGAACTTGTAGCTTCAGACGCAGTTCTTTCCTTCAAAACAGCGTTGTGGCTGTGGATGTCAAACTCTTCGAACAAGCCATCATGCCATGCAGTCATGACGGGAATGTGGACTCCTACTTCTACTGATGTGGCTGCAAGTCGACTAGCAGGATTTGGAACAACCACCAACATTTTGAAGGGGAATGAAGAATGTGGACATGAGTCCCCCGAGGCAGACTCTCGTACTAAGCTATATTTGGAGGCGGCAACAGCATTAGACGTTGTTCCTGGCGAACATCTTCAGTGCTCGACTAGTTTGCCCTTCTAGATTTGTGCTGCTTTTTGAAACCCTTAGAGCGTAAACAATCTAACATTAAACAGTAAACAGTCTAAATTGTCCAAAACAGTCTAACTACGATGTTTCCAGAAACTATAATATGTCTCCTACGTATATCATCGACCTTCGCCCAGATTGGCCCTCGGAATTGCTAACAAGTGCAGTTACTTGAAACTACTTAAACTGTGATGAAAAACCGAGGTTACAAGTGTGCTCATCACGAGAAACTACTTGACAATACACTCTTGATTATACATATATATATACATATACTTTTCCTGATATCTCTTAAGTTCAAAGTATGAGCATTCGAGAAATTCGATGAATTCATAAGCATTCGATGAAGGTGACATTGTCAGAACTGGGCACATATTGCTTGAGTTTCTTGAGCGTTCCAGAGTGGTGAAAACACAGAAAATATGCTTTGGTACAATAAAATATTCAATGAATGAAATGCTGTAACACTATTCCTCAAATGCTGAGGAGCTCTGGCTCCGCTTGGCGTAAGTTCCATCGGTTAAGATCTTAGCCTCGTGGAAGATCCCTCTATAGTTAAATGCGACGAATCAAACAGTTCATCGGTTGATGTCAGTATTCCGCGCTTCTTGTCTCCCTTCTGTGTGTAGAGATGCTGCAAGAATTATGGTCGCTAAGATTCTATGGGAAAGAGTAAATCGTGTGATCGGAGGTAATTGGGGATGCGAGCTGTGACTTTGAACAAAAGTCGATGTCCAGTATAATCTTCTGACTAGTCATGTTTCTCGACATGAGACAGAAAAAAATCCTCTAATTTTACTCTCGTGTGCCTTACTCTTGAGTGCTTCTAATGTGACTGCAAGCAATCACGTGACGAATATGCAAACTGTACGTTATAAATGAAGTATCTTTTATCAGATCAACGTCTCACCTTTACCGAATCAATATTCAGCTTTTCTTGATTGCTTTCAAACAGAATATCACCGCAATATGTCACCACACACAAGGATCATCTGCAAGACGAGAAGTCTTAATACATCGACATTATGACTGATAATGGTCGTATCTATAAAATGACCATTATGACTCATATCTATAAAATTATAACTCATAATTTATGAGTTGTAATTTTATAGATATTTGATATATAACAGATTAAAATTATTGTAGTTACTTTGAGATCCGTCTAGCATGGGTTATAATGTCCAAGTGGGGCGTAATTGGTTCTTTTCTCTACGGCAAACATTGCAATTGGTGTTACCGATTATATCAATAATTGTCATAAAAGTTCCGATTGAGTTGAAGTTAGTAAAAGTTTTCTGCTCAATAATCTGCCATAAATTCCAGTCCAGCGATGTGGACATCTTGAGCGAGGAACAATTTGTTCAGCACCTGCACCTCATGGACAGGGCTCATCGCCAGCGGCTGCTGCACGTGGCGATGCCTCATTTGGTAGGGAGGTTTTCTCACTTCTCAAGATCTTCTCCACACGCTCTACATGTTGTCACCTGGTGCCAGATAAGTCGAGCTCACAATCGTGATGCCCTTTCTTTTGGTAGGGAGGTTTTCTCACTTCTCAAGATCTTCTGCACACGCTCTACATGTTGTCATCTGGTGCCAGATAAGTCGAGCTCACAATCTTGATGCCCTTTCTTTTCAACTGGGACAATGTTCTAAGCTGGTCTATCGCCTTCTGCAATTCACTTCATGTGCCGTCATCAGATACAGGCAAACTTGTCAATCAGCGGTTCCTCGATTTCAGTCAGTGTCGATCACTTGCAGGTTCTGAAGGACGTCAGCTGTAGAAGAGCAAACCGTGCATGTCTGAGAGACTCGACATGTACGTTACCGCCATTGTCTTTTATCATGCTTGAATGCTGCGACCTGCCGACAGCAAACGATGAGGAAACGAGGTAATATAATAGCTTTGAGCGTCTCATTCTATTCTCTATTCCTAGGACAGAGCAAACTTCATAAATCGTTCAGAAAGTGGACATGTAATACTCGGAAATGATAAATTAAATTGCGTGAAGATTGGAGTCGACTTCACATTCAGAGTGGTTCGCATGTCTAATCAGATGGATTAATTCCCGTTCCAGTCCTGGATTTCCCTGCCGACGAAAACGAGGACCTCAACGTGCAAGCAGCCCAACTGATTGTACGAGTCGGGCTAGCTCGAATTCATGCTCAGAAGTCGAGAATTGATGAACTTCTGCGGATAGAGTAAGTACTCGACCAATCACGGCAGGTGGAGATGACAATGGCTGCTGAAAAGTTCCGACTAGTGCTCAATCACAAATTTTGGGCCAGGAGTCGGATGAAGCTGTTGTGCCTTCTCGATCTCGAACCGAGAAGGACTGAGTGACTAGCCCATCGATCGATCTATCGAACAGGGCTGCTGGTGGGAGGCGATGTGACCGTGATCAGCGAGTACTGTACCTTCTCACCTCGAGCAGCCTCGAGGTCGGACGAGACTATCATCCCGGCGACGAGCTGCTGGAACCCGACACCAGGAACCAGGTCATCTTCTCAGACGAGCCTATCAGATCGTCCACGTAAGACGGCCTGAAGTACGTGGACCTTCGAGTTCGGAAGGCCTTCGCTTAGAACCCTCCACGTTGGCCACCACGTAGTTGTCGGGCTTCTCCTGCTGCAGCCAGCATGAACCACATGGCCTCCATTGTACAGCTCGTCCGGGCCGACGGAGTCCACCCACTTCCGTGAGGTCTCCGTAGTGCAGATCCATGCTGATCGATGTAGATGTGCTCGAGACGCTGCGTGTCGAAGCTGGATGCCTTTGCGGGCAGAAATTCTGCGAGGTACGAGCCAAATCTTGTCCGATGATGCCTGAGATCAGAGCCCTCTTCAATCCCGGAAGCTTCGTCTCGGCCATTCTAGTCTTCGCTCTGCAGCCTAGCATGCAAACACTGACTGTCTATTTCAGAATGCAGTACATGTGAAATGAAAAAATCTACAACAGGTTCTTTTAGTCTTGTACATACTTTCAAGTATGGATGCAGGAAACTTGTGGATCACCAGCACAAAAGGTCTTCGTGATCCAGATTTCCAGTGGTTAGAGAAATCGCTGAGAACTGTCAAGTCTAAATGAAAAGGAGCTGATGTCCCTTCTGCTGTAACTGCTCCCACTGGCCGCGAACGAAGTGTTGGGTACAGCTGCGTCTGTGGCTGTCTACGAATACATCTCGCGATGCTCTTCGTTCAATTCTCGGCTGCGATAAGGCCCGCATTCCCACTCCCAACCGAGCCCGATCCGAGCTGCACGTTCCCCATCATTCGCATCGATCCAAATCGTGCGGAACTTCCACCCTCTTGGTTCCATCGGCCGACTGTAGACCCGTATTCAGATACATCGGAGAGGAATGGAAGAGTCTGCGTGGACCTCGTCGAGTGGACGAGCACAATCCTTTGGTGGCGAATTAGTTCTCAAGTGCGAGTGTTCATCCCGTGCTCGTGAGCTTTATAACAAATTATGGAAATGTATGCGTTTAACTTCAAAAAGCTCAGAGTCTGCCGCCCTCCAGTCGTACGAATTTTATCCAGCAGCGCAGTTCCAGGTCTCCCGATGGGACAGGCGACAGATGTGCGCTTTGCTTCTTGAAGTCGAAAGTTCCCCCACTTTTCCTTATACTGTGCGGGGCACTGTCCACCTGATTCGTGGGAGATCCATGGTCCTGTCATCATTCGGCGGGATCACGTTCACAGACAATTTCACGACGCTCAACTTCTTTCTTCTTGGCACTGGTCCTAAGTCCGATGAGATGAGCATGCATTTGCTGGAGCGGGGAGAAAACGTGTAATGACGCAAGCTGAGCAGCCAAGGAGTTCTAGGTGCATGCATGCATGCAGGCACCGTCAAGTCTCGTTACGGATCTGCAAAACTCCCCAGCGCTTCTGAAGCTCTCTGACTGACCTCCGGGTCGAAGTCATTCGCATGAGAATTGCAAAACATAATGATTAGACGGCTGTATTGGTTATCATCAGGCCTCTCTAAATACGGAGATCCATCAATGGAGTTCCGTATATGTTCCGTATTTACACAAAGTTCCGTATTTACACAAAGAATTGTTTTTTCTCATCTATGTGTCGTAACTAGATAGGGATAAAAGTTCTACATTATAACTTAATCACATTGCTGGTTGAAATGGGAAATCGAGCTTCACAAACAAAAAATAACACCTTTATCTCTCGAAGGTGTACTACATTACAGCAAATTAGGACATTATTGAAGAAAACATAAGAGATTTGTGCTAAACTCCGTTTATTGTTTCGATGATAATCTTTATTTTGGTGTAATACGAAACATACGGAAAGTTGTTATGCCTGATTATGATTCAGATATCTGCAGTCCATGGAAAGTACGCCCAGGAAAAGACCCTCATCTGTTTAAAGTGTAATTCATCAGTTTGGTCAAGCAGTCAGTTAGTATACTGCTCTATGGTCCGTACTCACTGGTGTCGGGCGAATGTTCGTCCCTTCCGTCCTGGGGTCGGTCCATGTACCGGAGATGTAATAAACTCAAACTCAATTAACTGAAGCGTTTTGTTAGAATCGCCCCATCATGAACAAGTTCGATGAATATATATACACGTACGATATGTTTCACAGCAACCCGCGTGGCAAAAGAACATCTGGTTTCGGTGTTTATACAGCTCGGTTGCGTTGGTGGACCTTACCGAACTGCGTTCCCGACGCTTGAGCCCAGAATTGCGTGCCTGTTTCCGAGATGAGTACCACGTGGATCTGCTAGCACGGGTCATTTTTATAACATCACATACGGGGAACGCCGCATGATCTCTTGTGCCGTTCAATGCTCCAGTGTTCCCAGTACTCGCACCATCAATGATCGTAAGCTCAAGTTCACTTCAGCTCAATGCCGGGCACGATAGTGATACGAACTCTTCGGTGGACTTGTGAATATTAAGACCTGAGAGATGGAATAGATTGAGCGGAAACAATTTGATTAATCGCATAGGCTGCTGAGCGATATCATGGTTTATAGATAATATTGAAATACAGTACTACGTGCTACAGCCGCAGATGTATGCTTGACATCGTGCATTTCTGAAATGTTTATCGACCGGCAGTTCAGATTCTCCGATCTACTGAAAGCCCTTGTGTCTCTCTAAGTCTATCTTCCTGTCGCCTGACAGTGTGTGGAATTCATCACAGATACCCCATCGTCGGGAAATACTGCACTGCAATCGTGTATAAGAGAAAATGGCCTAATTCCCCTAAATGTGAGTGAATGTAGTGTAGTGTAGGCATGACCATCGGACTGGACGAGGAGTGGCCAGGTAGGGGGTTGCAGGCGGACCTTGTGTCCCTGTAATCACCGAGTCCAAATTCTATGCGCTTACTCTCGGGCCGAAGAGGGCCAGAGGAAAAGAATGTGATCAATGTGATCAGAGGGGAGTGGCCAAGTTTCTCCCTTCCCGAGGGGGGCGGAAAGCTCATGGAAACGCGAGCTGGGGTGGGGGCAGATCAAGGCTGCTGGTGGGAGGCGATGTAGCCATTGTCGGCCAGGACCTTCTCGCGCTTCGCGCGCTCCAGATCGGACTCGACCATCATGGCCACGAGCTGCTGGAAGTCGACCTTGGGCTTCCAGCCGAGCAGCGACCGGATCTTCTCGGACGAGCCGCGCAGATTGTCGACCTCGGACGGCCGGAAGTAGCGGGGGTCGATCTCGACGTGGTCCTTCCAGTCGAGCCCGACGTAGCCGAAGGCGGCCTCCAGGAACTCCTCGACCGTGTGCGAGTCCTCGGTGGCGACCACGTAGTCGTCGGGCTTCTCCTGCTGCAGCATGAGCCACATGGCCTCGACGTAGTCGCCGGCGAACCCCCAGTCGCGCGACGCCTTCAGGTTGCCCAGGTACACCTTCTTCTGCAGCCCGATTTTGATTCGCCCCACGGCGCGCGTGATCTTGCGCGTCACGAAGTTCTCTCCGCGCCGCGGCGACTCGTGGTTGAAGAGGATGCCGTTGCAGGCGAAGAGCCCGTAGGCCTCGCGGTAGTTCACCGTGTACCAGTGCGCGGCCACCTTCGAGACTGCGTAGGGGCTGCGCGGGTGGAAGAGCGTGCTCTCGTCCTGCGGCGGCGGCGTGGCGCCGTACATCTCCGACGACCCGGCCTGATAGTACTTGACCTGTCGCCCCGTGGTCTCGATGTGCACGCGCACCGCCTCCAGCAGCCGCAGCGCCCCCGTGGCCACCACGTCGGCCGTGTAGTCGGGGTTCTCGAACGACACCCCGACGTGCGACTGCGCTCCCAGGTTGTACACCTCGTCCGGGCAGATGCTGTCCACCCACTTCCGCAGAGCCGATGCGTCCGTCAGATCGCCGTAATGCAGCTTCATGCGCGCCGACGAGTTGTGCGGGTCGATGTAGATGTGCTCCAGGCGCTGCGTGTTGAAGTTCGACGACCGCCGGATTATGCCGTGCACCTCGTATCCCTTGCCCAATAGGAATTCCGTCAGGTACGACCCATCCTGCCCGGTGATGCCGGAAATCAGCGCCTTCTTCAGTGCGCTCGACTCCGTCGGCTTCGTTTCCGTCATCTTTCGTCCTGCGCAATTGCGTTACCCGATCCTTGCGTCGTTAGACCACGCCCTCAACATTGCCTCGGAGTCCGATAACCCATCGGTTCTTGACAGAAATCGATCCCGGCCGGAGGACCTTCGGTCGGTCCGATGTACGAGGAGCACTAGATCGATAGACAGCCCATTGTGGAGAAATTTGGAGGATCAGATTAACAGATCAGGAAACGGATTTCGTAAATTGTATGCACGAAATCGTTTTCCTTCTGATGTTCAGTCTCCGGTGGCGATCGATGCAAAGCACACGAATTATGAATAGGTGCTCGAGTTAGCCGAGGTCCTCATGAGGTCGAGAAACGATCGACGGAAGCTGCACGAGATCAGAATGCATGCGAACAGATTGGAAGCGAAGATTGAAGGTTTGTCTGCGCAAATGTTTCGTGAGTCTAGCAAGGTATCGATTTACGAATGCTTCCGGACATTGATCAAATCCTCGCTCGCGACAGATCGTTCTAGACAGAGTTCGAGCACTCAGCTGTAAATGAGAGAGAGAGAGAGAGAGAGAGAGAGAGAGAGAACCCACCTCTTGGGTTCGAACTTCGAATTGGAAAGCGCGGCGACGATGTCGAGAACCACCGATCGAGACCCGAAACTCTTCTTCTGCTCCCGCGATTACTAGCACTCTGCCTCTGAGTCCGAGTCGTAAAGCGCTTCGGACGATGAGAAGCAGAGGCGTTATATCGCCTTGCGCAGCTCACGTAGTGCCTGCAGGCTCACGCGCTCGAAGCACGTCGTGCCCGACCGCGAGTCCAGCCCGAGTCCGGCCGAGTGAGCGAGCTACAACGACGTGCACAGGAATCACAGAGCTCCCCTCGCACCTCCTCCTCCTCCTCCTCCTCCACACACACTCCTGGCAGAATCATGAACAGGCAAGATTCAGGCAGCTGAATCTTCCCACTTCTAAATTCGCGCATCCCCCGTCCCGTCGCCCTCCCGGCTCACTCTCATCACTTCTGCCGCCCCCCGCCCTCTCTCTCTGGAGGAACGTGCTGCTGCCCCCCACTAGTCGGGTCGGTCCGACTGCGTCCTCGGGTCAAGCGGGGGGCACTTTCTTGCCGACAACGACACAAAGAAAATGCTTCGGCACGCCTTCTTCTTCTTCTTCTTCTTCTTCTTTGTCCTTCGCTGCAGACTCATGATCAGAGAAAGGCCCTTTGGCGCATGCCGGTCTTCTTCTATTCCTTCTGCCCCCGAAGATCGTGCCATGCCCTCGGCAAGTTGGCACAGCAGCGCCAAGATTCGACCGGGTCACCTGTCGTCATGACTGCAGTAGAGTACACACTCTTGCTTTTGATTACTATCCCCGTCGTCGCAATCAGACGCCCTTCGGTTGTCGTTCCACTCTGCTCGCTGTACTCGTTTCTGTTCCTTCGCGTGATCCGATTTGTTGCTCATAATTGGACCTTTGAATTGCTGACTTACTTGGAATCACTCACTGCAACTTCGTCTGCTTACGATCATCTTAATTTTACCCCTTCTGACTACCGGCCTCTCGAAAGCTAATAATCAGAGTTCTCCTGGTCCATCTCGTGCAATAAAAAGTAATACCAGCTTCCGTCCTCTCACTATGAATGAGACACGCTTTTACTCAGTCCGTCCTTGGGCTCCACAAGTGTGGCTGGCAGAGGACGTGATTGAACTGTTTCCTTGCTACACAACGTAAGGTCGAAAGCCAGCTTTTTGGTCAACGTAGATCCTATACCACCTCTCTAAGGTTTTCACTGGAGCTACTAAAGTATCGTGATTGCAGATTGAGCTATCGCAGCTCCAGTGCGCGAGAATTCCTGAGTTGATGATGTCGAAAGACTTGTGCTCAGCGTGAGAACAGTTCTGTTCTCAGGAGAACCTTGATACACGATCGCTATTGGCACTGAGGATTACAGTCAAGTACCAGGAGGTTTATTTGACTCTCCTGGGTTACAATATTCTGATCTTTTTTATTCCGACATGGCGGTTTCGTGTTTACATGAATCTGTGGCGGCTGAGAACCGAGCAAACCAAACGAACCAAACGAAACCAAACCAAAGAACAGGCAAATACGAAACGACGGGGCTCGAGGACTTGCGAGACAAGAAGTTTACTTACAGGTTACTTATATGAAGAAAGTACAAGAAGAAATAGAAAGGCAGCTAGATGTACATAATTAAGAACCACGTAGTTTTGGTTTGCCGTTACGATGACATACAATGAGTACAGGAAGAAGAGGAAATAAAGACATCAACTTCACTAAGACTGGCTTCTTTCATTGCAGCATCAAGAAGGAACTCGTCTCCGCGTTGGCAGATTCGTTCGAGACTTAAATATTTGAACAGATCGCATGATTGCTTAAGGTTTGTTTGTTTTTCGAGGATGAGTAGTATCGTCCACTCTTCGTCAAAATTAGATGCAAAGGTTTTTGAAATTATAAATTCGTATGGTTGTTACGTACGTTATGACGTACGTGAGAACTCATCCGTGAATTGAGAGAAATATGCATCATTCGCTAATGTCTTGACAGGCATGACGTTTATGAGAGAAGATTATCCTTCGCATGAAAGTTGTGAGATCAATTTTGGAGCAATTGGGTCAGGTTTGTTGAGACTTTCAAGTCTTGGCAGGAAAACAAATGCAGTTAACCTTAACCTCAAAGGTTCAGAGTAAAATACGTAGCAACAATATAATGAGTATGTGGTAACATGAAGCTGCCCAGGATATATGCATGACTATAAATTAATACTTGATTTTTTCTAGTGACATTAGCTTCTGAATTACAAGCATCAGTAACTTTAGTCTCATTGCAGGGATAGAGCCCAACATATTTTCAAAGCCACTCTCTCATATCCCATGTTTGTCGATTAGACATTCCTTAGCAACTTTACAACAATGTGTGCTTGATTCTCTTCATTGTGATGTACTGCGAGCTGTACTTGACTGAAGCTGCAACATCTACCTTACTCCCCACACTGCACGCACTGTGGGACGAACCGTGGGACTGAATTGGATACGACCTTGCTTCATTTTGGGCCAGAGTCTCACTGTCCATGCTCCTTCAGGTTGTAGATTTCAACCATATTCTGTGTAGTGACAAATAATTGATTCCTCTCAACAGGAAAATTAAACACACGAGCTTGATTCCAGGTACTATTCTTCTTTGTCCTCAAAGTCTTTGAGAGCCACCATCATACAAGTTATAGACACGACTTAGTCAAAGCTCAAAATATAGTAGACGGAGTTTAAATGAATTGATTGACAACTTTTGATTGGATAACTATTGCATGTCCGGAAGCAAGTATCAGTATTTCATGAAGCCTGAACTGCCATCTTGAGGTGAAGTAATTTACCTATCTATCAAAAATGATATTAAAATAGAGACAATTTGATCATTTGCTTTTATGCAAAAAATTTAAAGAATTTTTTTAGAGCCGGGACAACAGTAAGATGTGAAAAGACTCAATCCCATTTTGACCTCGGTATGGTAGTTTGGTGGCATTTACTTTGGGGAAGGACATTTACAGTCAAGGGCCCAACACGAAGGTATTCGATTCATCAAAATATTAAGAATTCCAGAGCAAACAAGAACTGGTCTTTGAAGGTCATGTTTACCAGGTGTTCTAATTGACAAGACTGCGATCCTCAATATGAGCACGGAACTCAAAGGAATGGGCAGGGTCGCCTCTCCACCAAATTTCACTCTGTTTCAGATCAGAGGATGAGTGGCTTGTGACATGTTGCGAAATACAAATTCGAGGTAACATCGGTTCTGGGGTCTTGGGATTGTGAGTCGCTGTCGTCCACTTGGCTTAGGGAATACGGCCACACGGTACCTGTAAAGCAAGCACGTGGATGTGCAGCACAATCACTTGGACTTTCAATTCCAACAACAACATAGATCGCTCCTGGACTGGGGCCAGCCAGCGTTGGACCCCACACGAATCTCACTGAATTAGATGATTCTGAGGCAATCACAACTGTCTTGAGCTTGAGCCAAGTGCAGTCCAGAAAGGTTCTTTTAAGCACGCACTGTGGAAATGTGATAACTGTACATCTGAAAAGGCCACATACTTAGTCAACCCACCAGAGGACTTTTCGACATGGATTAGTCATGCTTCACAACCTTTGCTACTTTCATCCGTGCACTGGTTTGATTCATGGGATTTCTGAGTTTGGTCTGGGTTTGAGACTTTACGTTTGGTGGACTTGCTCGCTTTCATACATATATACTTATGATATTGTTCAATACATTTAGTAAAAGTGTATCTAGTTGTACTTTCAATTTCCTATCTGGTTGGCAAAATTAATTCCGTATTCATCTTAGTTCTTGGTTCTCATGATTTGCGCTAGTATGTAAAATTTTTGATCTACTAGTTCAGATAGTTAGATATTAAGTGAAAATAATAATGCACGTTGTGATGGTATTGATATCTAACTTCATTGTAATATACTTAATTAGAATGACTCTCATCAAAAGTAGTGGTATGATAGATTAGGGTGAGTTGAGTAACTTTTCAGTCCTTTTATTTTTATACTTTGCTACAAGTGGAGAGAGGAAAGTTTGTAGACAAAATTTTTATCTTAAAATCTTGATTTTATTGAATTTTTAATCAAACATTATGAAATATTCTAAAATATTCTCAGAAGATAATGTTTTTTTAAGTCAATTTTTTTTTCTCAAATACGACCTATCGAAAATTTTAATTTTTTTTTTTTACTTGGGATTTTTTAATTTTTACTTGGTTCTCTTCGAAATGGTTGGAAAGTTATATTCTACATATATGATATACATTCTAGGAAACTTATTATCTTCAAAATATATTGTAATGAGTGTGATCTACATTTTAGGATTTCAACAATGAGCATTTTTTCATTGTCTTTTGGATGAAAAAGACGTTAGATATTTAGTTAAAAACCTACATAAATAACACATCATTTTCCTTTATTATTATTATTATTATTCTAACTATGACTTTACTTTCAATCATAAAGCCATTTGCAATGATCCAAGATATTCATCTACATGCTGTATCTTCTACACTTATCTTGCAGGAAATAATCATATAACAGTAATCACATGCATGAATGTTATGATTGGATCAATCAATCTCCTAACAAGAAATTATAACAATTCTCTCTTTATTAATCAAACATATGCTTGTGTGTGAATGATTGAGATGAAATAAATTGAGCTTAATAAAAACAATTTGATTTTTCATGTTTGTATTCCACGAATGCAAGATTTTTTATTATAACTTTTATGTATTAAATAGTTGAACAAAATACAGCAATCAATAAAATATAATGTCAATATATCTTCAATTTTCAATCTTAAATCTATAAATTTGTTGATACTTATACCTAAATTTTCAACAATATGTTTTGTTTCTTTCATAATAATATTTTAATTATGAATTATATTAATCATCATATTCGTCAAAAGAATTATTCTAAAATTTTGAGAAAATGTGATTTAAAACTCATTTTATTTGCTACTATTCATATTTTTCACATTTCAATCTTCATGAATTTACACAATGTGATGCTTGTATAAATTTTCATTCTACAAATAGTTGAAATTGTGAAGTTCCAATAATGATAAAAGTCGCTTCATATCCTTGCTTGGATTCTTATAAGTTTTAATGGCAAAAAATTAGAGAGAGATAAATTCT